ATTAAATACATTAAATATATTTTATATATTTTTAAAATATTAAAGGACTTAAAAACTTATAATTATAATTACAAGTCAGTTCTACCAAACTAAGTCTTAATTAATTGATTTATGTGGTTTAGTTGAAGGAGGAAAATTTTACGAGGCTGTGCAGCACAAAAAGCATGTTGGTGGTGAATGGTAGTTTTCCAGGGCCAACGATTCGTGTTCACAGGGGAGATACAGTTTATGTTAATGTTCATAATCATGGAAATTATGGAGTCACCATTCATTGGTACAGGCCCTTCTCTTCTCTTCTTTGTTTTTAATAACAAATAGAATTTTATTAATTTACTAAAACCACAAGGGTTAACTGTAATGTCCTATTATATGCAACTAAAGTTGAATGCGGAGAGAGTACTAAAATGCATGTGCAAAACTATATCATAAAAATTTTGTCAGGCATGGAGTTAAGCAACCCAGAAATCCATGGTCGGATGGTCCTGTTTACATCACACAATGTCCGATTCAACCAGGATCAAATTTCACTTACGAGGTTATATTTTCTGAAGAGGAAGGAACCGTTTGGTGGCATGCTCACAGCAATTGGACCCGCAACAGTGTTCATGGGGCAATTGTCATTTACCCTGCTCAAGGAACCACGTTTCCATATCTACAGCCTGATGGAGAAGAGATCACAATACTTGGTATCAAGTCCTACACCATTTGCAATTTAATGTGAAGGAAGGCAAATTTACCAATTTTTGTCTTCATTTTGTTTGGTTGTAGGAGATTGGTTTAAATCTGACTTGAACTTAGCAGTTGAAGAGCTCTTAGATAGTGGAGGGAACTCAGCTCTAGACCCAGATGCTTTCACCATTAATGGCCAGCCTGGAGATCTTTTCATTTGCTCTAAAGGTATATATGTCTATCTTTATATTATTCAAAGTCTTATGTTGGTTTAAAGTCTAAACCATTAGAGCAATATCCATCCTAAAATTGATCAACTAACTTATTTATAAGGTCATAGAAGCCTACTCCAATGGAATTTTCTCACTTAACACATTATTTGACTTTGCAGAAACAACGCATCACTGGCTAGTTGATTATGGAAAGACATATTTGCTACGAGTAGTGAATGTTGCCATGAATGCATTGCTTTTCTTTGCAATTGCTGAACATAACCTTACAATTGTTGGTACAGATGGTGCCTACATAAAGCCTGTAGTAACGAGCTATATAATGATAGGTCCAGGACAAACCATGGATATCTTGGTTACAACAAATCAATCCCTTGGTCAATATTACATGGCTGCTAGATATTTCACCTCTGACACCTTGGAGTACTCCAGTCATAACTACCCTAAAGGAAATGCCACTGCAATTCTCCAATACAGAGGAAACTATACTTTAACATCTCCTTCTTTTCCAACCACTCTTCCTTTTTACACTGATTATAACGCTGGATTAAGTTTTATGAAGCAATTTCGAAGTTTAGCAAGCCAAGATCATCCTGTTGATGTGCCGCAGAACATAAGCACTAGAATGTTCGTAACAACTTCTATGAATGAAAATGTTTATAACCTTCATAAATATCTTGCCGCAAGCTTAAACAATGTTACTTGGATTGATCCTACTATAAGTGTGCTAGAAGCCTACTATAGGTATTTTTTTATCCTTTGATTAATTATGTTACGCCATTGAGATGAAGCTAATTAGAACTAGGATTGGTAACTTAATGATTGGGCTTCATTGCAGGAACATAAGTGGGTTTTACACCACAGATTTCCCAGACGTGCCACCAGAATTTTTCGACTTTTTAGCTGACAGTTTGGGGCTTGATGTCACACAATGCTTGAGGGGGACCAAGGTGAAGATAGTTGATTACAATGAAGAAGTTGAGATAGTTTTTCAGTCCACCAATGTGTTCAATTCGTCACAGAATCATCCAATGCATTTGCATGGATATAGTGTTTATGTGGTGGGATTGGGTGAAGGAATCTTTAATCCAGATGAGGACCCAAAAGGTTACAATCTAGTTGATCCACCATATGTGAATACCGCAACAGTTCCAAAAACCGGCTGGATTGCAGTAAGATTCAGGGCAAACAATCCAGGTATGTTCTGAAATTAAACATTTGATGTCGCCTTTCCCTTATCGTCTCCATGAAATTGTTTCCTTAAATTTTGAATTTTCGCTACCTTGTTCAATTAGGAGTATGGTTATTTCACTGTCATATTGAACGCCATTACACGGTTGGAATGAATACGGTCATTATAACAAAGAATGGTGGCACTCCAGAGACAAGCATGCAGGACCCCCCTCCATATATGCCTAGCTGTGGAAGTTCGTTATTTAGTTACTGAAATTCAAAACTACTCCCAATGGTCTGTTGAAATCATCGGCCAATTAGACATGATATAAGGTATGTCAGACATCTGTGCAGTGTAGCTGTTAGTGGCATGGTCACCTATCAAGTGTTAATATTCCAAACAAATACCATTTTTTTAAAAAATGTATAATTATTTGGACAGTAATCAATATCTCCTTATTTTATCCCTACGTTTCTGTATAAGCTTTTTATTTGCCATATACTACTGATTGTAACTGCATTCCGCAGGAGGCGTAGGGAACCGTTGCTTATCGGTGCAATAGTCATAGATCATGTAAGTCTTTCTCACATTCTCCAACTTGCTCTGCTCGTCAGGCTGTAATGTCCAGTACTTCTCTGCATTCCACCAGTAGCGAGGGGAATAGCATTCCTGAATGCTAGAGCCCTGAGCCTGGCAGCCGTCGATGTCAAACCCTTGGTAGTGAGCGATGAATGGTGCAAGGTTCCAGTTAGTGTCAGTTAGGCCTGCATCAATCTTGTCCCAGTTGTCCGGGTGCCAAATGGTACCCATTATTTGCATTGCCTGTGTTGTGTACCCAACTCCAACTCCAACATCCGAGTTGTTCTTGAAAACCCTTATTGGTGTGTCATCCACGTAAAATCTATATACATTTTGCAATCAAGTAATTAAAATCATTGTAATATATTTCTATGCAATTGTATGGTTAAGAAGAGAAAATGATTATTTTTCCTTACACAATTTGCTTTTGGTTCAAAAGAATTTTATAATCGTGGAAATCTGCTGAGGGATCGAACCAGAGGGAAAATCTTTGCTCTCTATTCCCCACACCATGTACAAAAACATTGGTTTGTAAAGTGTATGGTTTGCTTTCATTGTTACCTAGAAATTCAAAGTCCAGCTCGTCGCGCCCATCTCCCTTTGAAGTCAGCTGTTATTAATATAGTTAAGGAAAAAAATGCACATTAACCTCAAACTTTATCAAGAAATATTATTCCTTTATTTAGTAATAATTAAATAGAAAAAATTAGTGTTTTTTTTTTTTATCTAGATCGCAAGTATTTGAAAATTACATTAAATCCTAATTAACTTAAAATCGAATCTAATAAAAAAAAAATTTTCCAACACTTATCTATTCATTCATAAAACTCAAAATCAAGATTTCATTTAAAAAAAACCGAAATCATTTTACTTATATCAATAATTCAAAAAATTGGTATTTGTTAACTTACATAGAAAGTAACGACAACTCTAGAAGAAACCTTGTCCGGCAACTTAACCTTCATATGGAAAAACCCTGAACCATAGCTTTGCTTCGACTCAAATCCAGCTCCTGCATATAATATTAAAATACAAAAAATATATATTAATTGTTTTTTTTATTAGTAAAAATAAAATTTATTCAATACAAATATAGGGATTCTCGATTCAAAGACCCCAAAAAAAAAAA